AAAAAAAAAAAACACCACCTACCTTTGATGATGTAGCTATCCTGCATAATATGGCAATCATCTTATCAACATTTGGGGGTCCTAGTGGACCCAAGAAAAGAAAAAGGGAAGAAAAGATGGATAGGAAAGAAAAAGAATTGTTCAAAAGAGAATAATGGAAAGAAGAGAAAGAGGAAAAGAACATAGGTGAAAGTCTTTGGCAGAGATTTTTTTTTTTTTTTTTTCAATACAAACAACACATTACAACATTTGTTAAAATTTCAATTTAGACAGACAAGGCATAGGTTGTTAGTGTCTCTTGATGGCAAATACTAAAAGAGTCTTTCCTCTTGATGGCAGGTCACAAAGCACTTTGATTTAGAATATCAGCACCGTGAGGCTCCAAGATCACAACATACTACAAATTTAAAAACTCTTCTTCGACATGTGCGTTGAATGACAATGTTTGATGAAAATTGTGGAATGTTAACGACTGTACACTCAAACAATTAAGGATGCTGCAACAACCTCAAGCTATGTAACTTTTCACACATCATCAATCCTCCTCCACAATGGCATGGCTTTGAGATGATTGCCAGGGAGATTCCAACATATGTGCAGCTGATGTCTGAGGACTTTGTTTCACAGAGAGAAAATGATGAATATCACAGCTAATATTCCTCTCATGCTGGCACCATATACAAAAGCTGATAAAAATATATTCCACAATATTGAAACGGCACAGAAAAAAGGTCTTCGTGACTAGACAGAAGCAAGCCAACAAGGGTCACTAACATGAAATATCAGTTTAAGAGAAAATTACAGTCATTAAAACAGCTACATTTAAAGCATAAAGAGAAACAATTCTCAAAAACAATCTATTCAGAAAAATTTTTAAATCAAAAAAAAAAAAAAAAAAAAAAATATAACGCAACAGAAACATAGCTAAATTTTACAGATTATAAAAACACTTTTTACAAAGGAATAAAAATACATTTATATTTTATACATATATTCACATTACATTTTTTATAATACAATTGATAGTTAAAGCTTCAGTCATGTCAAACATTTAATCTTATTTTTTTTTAACATTTTTTCCAAATTTTTTTTAAAAAATTCTAACAAGTACTACATAAGATTTAAACTATAAATTGTTCTTCCTGCCACTTATACAGGATATTAAAGATAAAAATCAACAATTAAGACTTCATAAATGGTTGAAAAATCTCACATTTCTTTCTTTCTTTCTTTTTTTTTTTTTTTTTTAAAGCACTTAACAATTGTGTAAAATCAGCAATTTAAGTAGTACGCCAAAAGAAACTTAAAAAATAAAAGACTAAAATACAATTTTGTTTTTAACAAACAACTTTATGCTTATTTCCTTTAAAAAATTTAAAAACTAAATGTATTTTAAATATGTGTTATTAAAAAGCATTTTTTATATTTTGTATTATGCGTTCACCGGCAATTATGATAAGCCATAAACAGTAGCAGAATGCAAATCCCATATTAAGACACAAAAACAGACTCTTCTAATGTCTTTTTTTTTTTTTTTTTTGTTAGGCCAACCAGTGGCGACACTTTACATTTATGTACAGGTAAAGTTATACAAAAGAAAACATGGCATGTATCTGTATAGTTTATATATCAAAAAAGACATCAAAAGAGTAATGATAAATGCAGTATTACATATCTCTTTTAAACATATTAGATTTCCCACACAATTCATTACAACATAAGATGACTAAAATCATCTAAATAAAGCAAACTTTTTCAAGAGCATTTTGCAAGTTATTACACAGCAAACTTCAGCAGTTTTTGCTGTATATCATATAGCAGAAAAGCAAGCTTTTCCAAGACTACTCCAAGATCCAAGTAAGTTTTCTTGAGTTCCATTACCATAGCCATGCAAGCAAATATACCCCATGATTCCAGCCCATACTAATTGCAATTTCTACTTCACTGTTAAGTGTGATAAAGAGAGAAATCCATATAAAAGTGAAAGACAAATCCCTCAAGCCCACAAGTTAACGTCCCATGAATTAGTAGCTAAAAATATTCTGTAGGTAATGCTTTTAAAGGCTTAACAATGATTGTTTTATCATTACCTAGAACCCTCTTCTTTTAAGTCAGATTCATCAAACTATCACCATCTTTAAAAAGTAAAAGAAGGGATTGCAGACTCGCAAAGTGGACCTGATACAAACTGTTGTATTTTAAACTCTTGTAATTAATATAATTATAATTTTAAAAAATGCTTACATTATGCATTCATTTATATTAAGCTCCACACAGTGATGTTTCATGATTTTTTACATATCAAATAAAACTTTTAAAATGTTAATTTAATACTGAATAGTATTAATGTGAGATTTTTAGGACAATTCTGAAGCTTTAACATTCACACATGGAAAAAATAGTAACTTCTTAAAAATAGACACACTTTTAAATCTATCTGCCTTTAATTTATTAGAAAGATGTGAATTTAAATTTGCAGTAAAAGATGAAAGAAATTATTAGATTATGCAGATAGCTAAAACTGTGTCAAGAGATAAACAGGGCTTGGATACATTTATACATCACACATGCATTTTAAAATATTTAAAATGCTTATAGTTTAACCACTAAGACTTAAATTCCTTATTTTATAAATTAAAATATTTAATTTTGTTTCCTGGCAGTGCAGAAAAGTAAAGGCACATTCAAATTTTAGTAGAAAATACTTGCTAAATCCAAATCTTTACAAAATGATCCTTATAGGGATTTATTTCTAAATAAATTAAAAAATTTTGCAACCAAATTATATTCAAGCCTTGTTTACATAAATACTAAAGTTTGCACACTATATATTAAATTTGTATGTGCTACAGATTGGATATTGGCCCTAGGTAAGTTACGAATGTTTGACAATTAGAATTCAATGTTTTAATCAGTAAAAATTATCAACTTTGGATTTTAAATCAGAAAATGAATTATAATTACTTCAACAAAATCATACTAAGCATAAAAATTTTAATTTAGAGTTAATTAGTGGCCTTACACATAGGTAAAAACTATAAACTATATAAGCATAGTTAACATGCAATGTATGTTACCTTTTACATACTCAAATAATCCTTTAAATACATTTTCTAAGAAGAATTTTAATTATATCTGAAATTAACAGTAAAAAAAAAAAAAAAAATATCTGATGGTATGCTGAAATCCGATGTTGTTTATGAACAATGAGGAAACCTAATGCCAATTAACGACTTAAAAGATAAATATAAAGATACACTTAAAAAGATGGATATATATATATACTATAAAGATTTCACTCCAATAAAATCCAACCTGTAGCACGATGAGCATGTGTAACACAGAATTTCGAAAATGTGGCACACATATTATGACTGCACTTTCAACAGAACCTTAAGAGTATTTGTCATCTCAATGCAACTCTGTTCTTTTGATCCCCATTGTTTGTTCTCACTCACCCAGTGATTAGGAGGTTTGGGCAGCTCAGTTGGAGGCGGCCTTTCACCAAACTTGGCACCAGCATAGAAACCTTTACCATTAAGCTGACTGGGTGATAGTCTGGACGGACTATTCCTGGTCGCAGTACCTTTAGGAAGCGATTTGCTTTGGTTTTCAGGCGCCTTGGATGGTGGAGTTTTAAATTTGATATGGGAATCGATAGGCATCGAAGCTTGTTTACTACCTTGGACTGTGCGGCGAGGTGGCGTCACCAAACTACACAATGCAGAGTTCAAATTCATATGAACGCCTTGTTGAGCGATACTCATGTAATCAGAGCCGCCTCTACCCAGCATTTCCATCATGCTTCTCAAGTAAAATGATTAAATCAAACAGTCAAGAATTATCACCTTTTAAATACAACCACCTTTGCACTCGATCCAATTCTTTCGATCAAAATGGTTCCCTTTCCAATTTCCAGTTGATAAATTTCCGTTAGATGTCAACCGTCTGATTCAATTTACAATATATTGCTGTTATACAGCTTGACTAAAAACAAATGTCCTCAAATGAGATTTCATGCACCTTCAAACTTAGATATGAAACTCCACGTCACTTCTGTCCTCAGAAATATAACGCTATCTACAAACGATCGATCAACGACAAATGTAGAATAAATTTAAACTTTTCGGAAGACAATCCAATTCCCTTGCTTTATCGTTTGTACTTAAACATATATTTCCTATTAAATGATCGACAATAAATGACTATACATATTTACACGAAATATCAACTGACTACAACAAAAACCTTAAGACATCCTTCTCCTTCCCTGATCTCTCTACCACAGGTTTAATGTAAAGGTACACAATTCTGTGACCTACAACATGTTAACCAATCATATGATTACGATTGTGCACGTGATTGCACCAAATGCGGAACTTTTAGGGTAGTATCAATGACGTCATTATTTTGATTGCGAATTTCTGTTTAAAAATTATTTTTAATAATAGCTATTTTGTAAACAATATTTTAAGGCATTCGATATCATTCAGGAATTTAAAAATATTATCGATCGTGATCTTAATTTTAGTCTTCCGAAATGTTTATTTAAAATATAAAACAACATCGAACTTACTGTTGCCAAATAAAACAAAACTATAATTTGAAAAATGGTATCTGAGGCCGAACGAAGATTTCATATTTTTCGATAGGAATGTAATGATTTGAATAGCAATGCAGATTAAATCTTCATGAAATGTAATTGCAGGAGAATACTTATAATTACAAGCTCACAACCATACTCTAAATAAAAAACAGTAAGTTTCAGTAGCACAGATATGCGTTTTTTAAATTAAAAACTGTGATGAAAAAAGAACAGCAATAGTCTTGTTACTTTAAAATACGCACTTTAACATTCCTAAGGCTAAAGGGAAGCTGAATTGTCGTCTATTTTGAAGCTAGCACGAAGTCCACTTGTTGCTATTTGCCATTGGATCCGCACTGTTTTTTTTTTTTTTTTTTTTTTTTTTTTTGGCATGTTTGTTGATCGATTCCAACATAATTTTCAGAAATATGGGTGGATGTGCTGTATCAAATTATTCGAATTGGTCCAAAAATAACTTTAGGATGTTTCGTTTCCCGAGAAATGAAGAAAGACAAAGAAAATGGATAGTTAATTCGGTACTTTTCCATTTAGCCGGCGCAGGCGATATAGTCGCCAAAAATGGTACAACCGATGCCAAACGGTATATCCTCGCTGGTAACCTTTCATGCTTGATTTTCAAAACAAGTATAGTTCGAACGCCTCATCCGCGACCATGACCGCAAACACGCATGCGCCATTCGGACCGAATTATTCTCAAAATAGGGTGGAAGGATGGAGTCTTTCTTTCCCACCAGCCTAGCTCGTTCCGGAGAAGAGAAGACCTTTCACATCGCAGCAAGTAATACCGCCCCTTTTAGACGAGTCTATGTGTTTTGGCAGAATGCCAACCAGGGTTGCGCTTCAGACGGTCGAACTATAGCAGCAATTTCTTATCGGATTGACTGTTTCTTTCAATACTGGCATAAAATTACATATAATTTTTACCAGATAGTTCAATTTTATGCCCTAAGTGATAGAAATTACTTTCAACGTGTTAGTCGAGCTTCGCCGGCGCTGTGGATGTTGCTTCTTTTTCTTTCGGAAAAACCAAAATTTCTTCGTCGTTTCTGCTAAATAAACTTCTTTAGAGCATATCGTGCTGATAACGTGATAGAAATTACTTAAATGGCAGGTACATTTTGAAAATATAGTAGAAACAAATAAGCAAACCACAAATACACGTTACATGTTTATTTACTTGGCTAACTAAAGATGTAATGTGCATTTGTGGTTTGCTTATTTCTTTCTACTATATTTTCAAAATGTATCTGCCATTTAAGTAATTTCTATCACTAAGGGCTTTCGCGGTAATTAAGTCAATTAGGATGCAATCACACCGCTCAACCGAAGGCAAAAATATATAAAAAGCGAAGTCAAGGGTTAAATTCATCAGTTCTAATGCGAATGCTCTATTGAAGCACAATTTCTGAGTAAGCTATTCGTACGAATTGAAATAATTCTTGCATTTGAATTTGTATTCCATAAGATTTAACTTGAAATTAATGCAGATAATTACTGGCAGAATTAGATTTTTGTAGCGTAGTTTACGTGAGATGAGATCACTTGGGGTCATGTGATGTGAACCAGTGAATTAGGATGTTGAAACATGAGATCATAGTAAATTCTTGAATTAATGTCTTTTTACAAATTTATTGTCTTTTTACAAAATGCTTTGAAAATAAAAAATTCTGAGAACTAACATTTGTTATTTATATGTATACTGTGTGTTTTCGCCAATAAAGTCTGCTTGGAGAGATTTGCGCCGGCCAAACGGAAAAGTACCGTTAATTCTCGTCGAGAGCAATGGATTCTGGGCTCAGGAGCGTATCTTTGTGAGGAAAATTCATTTTTCCATAAAATGTTAGGAAAATTACTCTTCGTATTTCTTTAAAATACGTATTTTCATTTAACTGTCACTTATTGACTATCAACTGATTTTATAAGTACAAAATCAATTGCGGAATGTCTATGTGTTTGTGAAGTAATATATCGCCAATACTGTTTGTGATGTTGTTTCCTTTATTATCGTGAATAGTTTATACTATTAGTAAAATTCTATCATACATTTCATGTAAACTTTGTAGTCGGTTAGAAATGTGATATGGCTCTTTTTATTTAATTTTACTGTACTATTGGTGATTTAAAGTCGCAGTCTATGTTTTGATTGTGATGTATTGTCGCCAATGTTAAATCTGAACAGTATGATCAAAATAACAAATGATTTTGGTTTTTCTATAAGATAAATATAGTCTGTATTTTTTAGGCATTTTGAAAAACGTTAAGGCTCTAGTGTAGAACTGGGTGCCCCTTCGATTAGCGACAATTTTTAAAAAGAATTTTGGCGATGAAACCTCATTTCTGGTTACCATGATAATTTTAACTTTGTTTTAGCTTCCTGATTTTTTTTTAAATGAAAATAGAATGATGTGTACATGGACAAATTTAAGGTAGTGCGAATGCCTAATTTGTGCAATTCTGTGATGAAGTGAAAACAGATCGATGTGTACATTGACACAGAGTTTGTGCAATTCTTTGACTTCTTATTTTGGTTTTGTGTAGAGCCCATCTTGAAATTGTGCCTTCCTGGCTCCGATCTTGGCGTCAAAAAACAAAGGGCACCCAATTGTAAACTTACCGAAGTTAAGTATTATTTTAAATATTCGATGAATCATTTTGATCCCATTATGATGCTTTATGTATTAGTAAATCTTCATGTTGTAGTTTTAACTTTCATGCATGCTGTTAAAAATAAATAATATTTGCATAATCCGAGTTAAAAAAAAATTTATTTTACATATTTGTAAAGAAAAAAACGTTCTGAAACAACATGTTTCATCTACACAATCAGCCCACCAGCGGCCGAGCGGTAAAATCGCTGAACACTGGTAGTTCGCTCCGAGGTTCGAATCCCGCGAACGGGCTGGCTGCATGGGCGTTTTCGTGGTTTTCCCCATGTGTAACGTGTATAAGAGCCAGTTTCCCTTAGAAAATCCTCCACAAAGGCATCCCTTCCCTTAGGCAGATAGCCCTAGTGTGCTTTGCCGTATTCTCCATGCACCATACACCATCTACACAATCAACCGACAGTCTCTTCAAAGCTTTAGGCCATCAAAATTGGTACACATCATACCTGCCAACCTCTAAAGATAAAAATTCAGAAGATTTCTCCAAAATTCAGAAGAACACGAAGAATTAATATCATGCTTTGATATTAAAAAAATAACAATTTATACAAATAGAAAAAAGAAAATTGTACTTGCATTAGTAAATCTCAATTAAGTAGTAACTAAAAAATTGGTAAAATCCTAGTATACGGTGCGGCCTTGGCGCGATTTTTAAAATTGTCGCCAACACCAAAATGATGCGTTTACGTTTGTCGCCAAATTTTTGGCAACCTCAAAGTAAAGCGTCACCACAAGTTTGAGTTGGCAAAAAAAGTAAACAAAATGATAATCATAAGATAATAAATCCTAAGCATACGGTGAGACACGAAAAAAAAAGCAAGCATTTAGAAATTGAAAATAATTTTTAACAGACCTTTATAACAAATAAAAATATAATTTTCAACATGCATCGCAACAAATACAAAACATTCACATATCAAATATAATAAATTAAATACCATGGCTCAGTGTCACATATGTCTATATCATAACTCAAATGCCATGGCCCTCAAACTCGGGTGGCGGATATATTGCTTTTATTGCGTCAATATTGCTTTTATTGCAAATATAAAGTCTTTCATTTTTTCGGATGACGATTTATTATTTTTCAGGCGCCGCCACATATATTCCACCAAATAAAAGTCAAACTCTTCGCTTACCTTTTTCGTCCCCTTCATCCCACGCTTAACAGCACTCCACGTTCCTTCCAAATCCTAGTATACGGTGCGGCCATGGCGCGATTTTTAAAATTCGGCAGCAATCCGGCATCTACTGCCCATTGAATTACAGCAAGCTTTCCTTCCAGTTCTAACTTCCAAAAAAAAAAATTTCGTGTTTAAATATTCGCAATTCATAGCACTGCACATCATAATCGAAAAGTAACGTTATCCAACTGTAGAACAAAATACGTTAGCAAATAGAACTGTAGAACAAAATACGTTAGCAACTCGAACTGTAGAATAAAAGACGTTATCAAACTAAAATCATATTCAGTATCTGACCAAAAACCGATTAATTAAAAAAAATATTAACCAATCAGAAACTCGGCGGAACC